ACAACAGTGAGGAAGCAACTGTGTTTTACTTTTGTGCCTTTCAAATTATCTATGAGGTAACTAGGACCTCCTCTTCCTGGCCCTGGCACAGTCAGCCTAGACCCTCTGCCCTCGGTGCCCAGGGCAGCCTGGGTCCCCGCAGGTGGGAGCATTGCTGGGGAGCACGATGCTGCTGCAGCAGTTGCCTAGCAACAGACGCTCACACTGGCAGCGGGTGCCACTCTGCTCTTGATACCCCCTACCCCAGCCCTACTCCCACTGCTTCAGGGGGCCAGCTGGTACACCTGATGCTGATCAATGATCCTAAACACAAATGAGAATCGGTTTCCCAGACCAGACTAGGAAAAGGTCAGATGATTGGGTGAAAAAAAAACTTTAAGGTGTGTTGAGTTCCTACTTGAAAATAGGCTAAGATTGGCTTTGCATTTTTCATAAGAAATGTCTCATCACTGTGTAAGGAAAGTGCTTTTGTGTTTTAGTGTTGGCATGTGTTGTGGCACACATGGCAGGTAATGGTGCAAATGTTGCAGCAAGACCAAAGCTGTGTCCCAGGTACTCTTGTTAGCCTCTCAGCCTCTGTAAAATGATGAAGACAACAGTTCCTCCCTTTTAGGGCAAATACCAAGTAAGTTGTTCCACGGAAAGGATTTAGCCCTGTCCCAGCAATCACTCCATAACTAGAGGCAGTTTTACAGTATACATTATTATTATATTATTAATATATTAAGTTCCTGGGTGTATTATGGTATCTTTTTCATCACATCTGTTTACATAATCCTTCTTAAATTTCAAATATAGGATTTATCTTTAACCGTAATTGCTAAATCTGAACAAGTGGAAATCTTTTACTATGTTTTCCAGGTAACTAATTATCAGACTGCCTTAAAAATGTGGCTCCTAGGTTCTAACTTAAATCTCCCTTTATAAGTTTTCAAGGGATTTATTTTGTCCCCTGCTCTCCAACAATTTATAGAAATCTTGACATTAAAAAAATTTGGCAAATTCTTATAAATATCCCACTACTCTATGCTTTTTAAAAATACATTTTCTGGCTGGGTGCAGTGGTTTACATTTATAATCCCAGCACTTTGGAAAGCCAAGGTAGTTGGATCACTTGAGGTCAGGAGTTCGAGACCAGCCTGGCCAACATGATAAAACCCTGTCTCTACTAAAAATACAAAAAATTAGCCTGGTGTGGTTGCAGGTGCCTATAATCCCAGATACTTGGGAGGCCGAGGCATAAGAATCACTTGAACCTGGGAGGCAGAGGTTGCAGTGAGCCGAGATTGCATCATCACACTCCAGCCTGGGCAACAGAGCCAAACTCCCATCTCAAAAAAAAACAAAACAAAAAAAGCTTTCTTGGCTTCTGGCTGCCCCACTAGCCATAGCGCATGCTGGGTTGATATTGCTATGTGTGAATATATGTGTTTGCACACTCACAAGATGTGAGGTGTGGAAACTGCTAAACAGTCTCCTTCCACAAAACTTGAACTTTTGACCTAGCTCAGAATGGAGTCTGACACTGTATGTTTGCTTCTACCTATGTCTGGAAAAGTAATTCATTGCTTTTTAAAAATGTATTTTTATTTTCAATAAGAATATTTATTTAAAACTACTATACTGAACAAATATTTTATGAATTTAACCTGTGGTCATGAAATTCCTTTGATGAGAATTCACATTTTGATCTGGACGTATCTTTGTCTTTCATGACTTCATTCATTCCCTTGACAAATATTCCCAGAGCATCTCCTCTGGGTCAGGTACTGAATCAGGTATAGGTGTGGCAGGCACAAGGACAGGCTCAGCCTTGGCCCTCACACAGGCTAGTGGAGTTTTGAGGGCACAGTTAACAAACCATTGCAATGCAAGTTGATGTTGATGGGTGAGACCAGTGGAGACTCTGGTGCTCCCTCCGAGCATGAGAAGGCATGCCTAACCCCCAGTGAGGGAGGCATGAGGCCTAGCTTGAGGCTGGAAGGATAACTAGGGGTTGGGCTGGAAAGGAGAGAACCCAGGTATTCCCAAGACACGAGCAGCACATTTAGGACCAGCCTGTTCAGGAACTGAGAGTGTTAGGAGGGATGGGGTGAGCCCTTAGAAGGGGAGCGTTTATACCAACCCCACCAGAAGGACCAGGCCCGGCGTTTGTAGATGATGGGGACAGCGATGTGGCTGGATTTCTATTATCGCAGTGGCAGCATTGTGCACGGTGCACTGAAATGAGACAGGCGGCAGTGAAACCGTCCGGAGGCCTCTGAAACCCAGCTCTGAATTAGTCATCTAAGACCACAGCAGTGGCAGATGCTGCAGAAAGAACAGGACAGATACTCAGGAAACAGACCCAAGGGGATGCAGTAACTGTTGAGGTTTGCAAGAGAATGGAGTCTGGCTTGACTCCCACCGTTCCGGTTTGGAAAATTAGGGGCTCTTATTCCAGAGAAAGAGGGAGAGAGGGGCAGGTAGAAAGTGTGAGGGTGGCACGGGGCACGTGCTCAGTCCTTGGCAAGGTGAATTCGAGACACCTGCGGCCCGGTGGGGATGGCGTGTCTGGGGGCGTGGTAAGCAGGATGGGCTGGGCTGGGGATCCGTGGCCAGCGTGGTGAGAGCTGAGTGGGCAGAGTATGGCGGACGCCGTCAGCCCGCCAGGAACACGCGTGTGGGTTGAGAGGCTGTGCTGTGGGGAGGGCTCTTCGGCCCCCTGGGTGGAGGAACACGGACTGATGCACCAGCCAGAAGGACAGCCTGAAACCCGATGCAGTCTCCAGGAGGGGTCAGAGCAGGCGCCACGGAGAGGCAAAGACAATAAAGACCGTAACTCATGGATGAGGCTTAGCCCCTGGCAGGCCCCGGAGGACCTGATGAGAGTATTTTCCCTATGGGGTGAAGGCCGAAGCCAGGCTGCCAGGGGCTGAGATGGGAACAGCTGAGGGGAATACAGGCGGAGACAGACGACATTTCCAACTCTTGGCTGTTGTGGGCAGGAAGAAAACTGGTGGAACTAACAGGGGGCGTGAGATGGACAGTGTTGTGGGGTTCAAGTGACACAGAGTTGAATGTGTTCGCTTGTTTGAGGGAAACCAGCCAATAGCGGGAGAGGCTGAAGCAAGAGTGGAGAGGGGAATGTGCGCGGGGTGAGGGGCACAGGTCCACAGGGCAGCGGCGCCTGAGGGGCCGGGGCGGGCGGGGGGCTGTTCTCGTGAAGGAGAAGGCCAGCTCGACGGTGAAGAAGACCGTGTAGGTTTCTTGGAAAATGGAGGGACTCGACGACAGGGCTGAGCAAAGGCACGGAGAAGACGGAACAGCGGCACAGGGGAACAGTGACCTCTCCACACCCACGCTGGCGTCCACGACTTCGGCCCGGCCCCCTCTTCCGTCCTCCTTCCCTCAAGTCCAACACTGCAAACACCACGCTGCAGGCTGCGGCCCTATTGGAGGGGTCTCAGTAACGGAGGGCAGGTGCTAGTCTCGCACCCTAGTTCCTCTGCTACAACGCCAAGTTCGAGGCCACAGTGCCTTCTGAAAAAGTGGCAGTGCAGCTCGGGAGCACTGCACAGGAGAAACGGGGGCTGGAGGTAAAGACAGGAGGCTCGGGAGGCGGCGGCGTGGGCGAGCTGGAATAGTCTAGAAGCTGAGCGGAACAAAGGCGGTGTGACTGGTGAGCCTCGGAGGGATCCTCCTCCCTACTAGAATATGCATGATCCTGCGCGAGTCCTCGCCCGCCAGGAGCAGGGACGCGTCCGAGCCGACATTGGGCGCGCGCCCAGACACACTCTCCTGGTTCGGGTTGCGAGAGAGCCACGCGGCCGCAGCGAGGTGGAGGGGCTGCGGGCCCCGAACCCAGGTCGGTCAGCGTGTAAGCGCCCCTGCCGGCCGAGCTCCGTGGGAGGTCAGCTCCCCTACCCCTCCGGCGCCAGTAGTTCCTCTCCAAGAGCTTCCGGACCAGCGGCCCGGCCGCCCCCAGAGCCAGCCTCCCTTTCCCTTCCCCAATCCGGGAGCCTGGACCAGGGAGGGGGCGCACGTCCGACGGCTGAGGCATAGCGGGGCGCGAGCTGGCCCAGCAGGTGCCCATCGTCACCCTGTGGGACCTCGGCGGTGAGCTCCGTCCTCCAAGCCAGGCTTGGTCACCACCCCGGCGGGGACCCGACACCCAGCCGAGCGCGCCGCCCCCTCGGGGACCCGCTGGGCGGGGCTGAGCGAGGCTGGGAGTGCGGGCGCGGGGACGCAGGGAGAACCCAGGGCTCAGCGTCACCTCGGCTGTCTCCAGCAGAGCCCGGCACCCTCGCCCCCCGTCTCCGTTGATTATGCTGTATTCATCCAGCAGAGTTTAAAACAATTCTCTTTTAAAAAGGCATTTTACTCCGCGCGTCTTCCTTACAGCCATTTAGTTGGGAGTTAGCGGTGGGCAGGGGGAGGGAGAAGAAACGCCTGCTCTGAATCGGAAAACACCGAGAGACCAGAACATCTCTTTCAGCAGCAGGCAAGAGAGGAGCCGTCGCGGGAGCCGCACACGTCTCCAACTCTCTATTGCTTTTTTGCGCACATTCCTAACTGCCTGACGTCCATCCCAGCGGGCAGGCATGGGGTGTTTGGGCAACAGCAAGACGACAGAAGACCAGGGCGTCGATGAAAAAGAACGACGCGAGGCCAACAAAAAGATCGAGAAGCAGTTGCAGAAAGAGCGCCTGGCTTACAAGGCTACCCACCGCCTGCTGCTCCTGGGTAAGGCCGGGGGGCACGTGGCGGCTCCCGGCCCCACCGGAGCACTCAGCCAGGAGCGGCGAGCGCTGGGAGGGGACGGGAGGGGAGGGCAGGGCAGGGCCGGGCTGGGGTCGTGCTCTCCACCGGGCTGCAGAGCCCGGACGGCGACCCGGGCGAGCTCCTCCAGCCAGGAACCCGCGTGTAGGAAATCCCCGTGCTGGGCGAGGAGGATTGTGGTGAGAGACCGCAGCGATATCCGGACACAGATCACAGCATTCTTTTCTGTTTGTTTGCAGGGGCTGGTGAGTCTGGGAAAAGCACGATCGTCAAACAGATGAGGATTCTGCACGTCAATGGGTTTAATCCCGAGTAAGAATGATCAATTTCGGTTTTGCTTCCAAACTGCATGCAAACTTCGTCTCTCTCCCAGACGTCCCAGAAGTGCTTTCTCTAAACAGTTCATTTGATAATTGAGTAGACATTCAAGGAGGGAAAAATTAGATATTTGGTGTTGGATTTCGTATATTTAGGCAAATCCTTCTTCCGCTAGTATCTAGTTAAAAAAAAACTTGCTTAACACAATATGATTTATAGGAATTATTGGAGTGTTGATCTGTATTACTGGTATTGCTCTGAGCACACTTAACCAATATCTCAATATATTTTTCAATATAATATTATTTGTTTGCATCTTTCAGTTTATAACTATCAACATATTATCCGTAGCATAGACGTAGGTAAAATACACTTGCAAGTGTAACTGCGGCATTATATTTATATGCAGTATCCATAGTGATTTTGCCATGTTTTTGTGTAACCTGCATGGTTGTTTAAAGCCATAGATTTAAAACTGTGTGCATTCAAGTTTTTTTAGAGTACAAATTAGAAAAGGGGGTTGCTTTCCTTTCCCAGATAAAATCTTTGCAGATGTTGTCCTGGAGGTTGATACTGACCTCTAGTGAAACCAGTCTAGGTCAGTGCTGTAGCTGGAAATTTAAAATCCCACTCAATTGATTGGAATCAGTGCTAAGGGTAAATTAAGCTAATAACAAATCTCTTTCAATACAGGGAAAAGAAGCAGAAAATTCTGGACATTCGGAAAAATGTTAAAGATGCTATCGTGGTAAGTACTTTTAAAAATGATTGTTTACTAGAAAGGTCAAGTGCACTTCATTCTAAAACTGTGTAGACAGAAATTACATATTGTAGATTATCATACGTGGAGCCTAAATGTTTATCCATATTTTTTTCTTATTTCATTTTAGACAATTGTTTCAGCGATGAGTACTATAATACCTCCAGTTCCGCTGGCCAACCCTGAAAACCAGTTTCGATCAGACTACATCAAGAGCATAGCCCCTATCACTGACTTTGAATATTCCCAGGTAAGAAATGCTTGCTGAAGTATTTTAAATAGTGAAAGATGGAACCATTTTTAATAAGGTTGCTTATTGAGAATCAATATTAATACTAATTCATTATTAACTTTCTTTGAAATTCAGCTTTCTAAATGCCTAAGAGGAATACTTATTCTGTGCCAAAATATTTGTGTTTGTTAAAAATACTAATGACAATGGGATTGGAAGAAATGCTTTTATGAATGTATGGGGATGGCTGATTATCAGGAAGACAGCGTACCTTTAACAAATGTTGATGGTGCTTTTTTTCCTGTCTGCATTCTTAAATTAACAATTAAGTAGTTTCCCAAATAACACCAGTAGAGATTACATGAGTAGAGAAAAATATTTATAGTAGGTAATTGCCTCCATGGGAATTATAGAAACAACAGAATTCAGTTTGCTTTTAAGATGCACAGGCTTCAGATCAATTGCAAAAATAATGCATTGTATAAAAAATGATAACATGAATCACTTCTGAATGTTTACTTTATCATATTAAAATGCAGTTTGGTTCATATCTGCATTACTTAGGGCTGCTTTTCCTAACCATTTGGATGGCAGTATTGCTTATGCAAAAGAATGAGATCAATATTAGTTTTCTCTCATTTTCAGAATATACATTTCTTTAAACTATTTGGTCGTTTTCATAAAGCGTGTTTCAAAGGAAAAGTATTCGTTAAGTTTCTCAGAAAGTCATTTTTATGACAGTGCACCAGAAGAGCGTGTGTGTGTGTGTGTGTGTGTGTGTGTGTGTGTGTGTGTTCATCAATAACAGTATTTCAAAGTTGGTATTGCCTGGCATGGCAGTTTGGAGACATCTTTCATTCTTAGAATCCTCCCTTTGAAGGGAGGCTTGTGCAGAAACCAGTGTGTAAAACAGAGAGGCCCTGCCCTGACTGCAAGGCCTGCGTACACCTGCTCTCCCCACCCCTTCTCCACAGAGCACTGTTGTCCTGTGGGCTCTCTATTGGGATGGCTAGTAAGAATAGCTTTTTAAAAAGGCTTTTCTTTTCATATTTTAATATGATTTTTGCTCTTATAAGCATACCAGTGTAGAGCCAGTGATAGCTGTAGAATTTCTACAATGAAGAAGTGAGAAGTGGCACACCGGCTGGAAGAAGGGGCTGGGCATCTGGCCCTGTTTCTTTAACCCGATGGCTTGGAGTGAGCAAGAAGTTGATGTCATAGGTGGAGGGGTAGACAGAAGATGCTCCAGCTACACCTGCAGCTAACTGGAGCTGCAGGTGTCCTCCCAGTTCTCACTGATACTGTGAACACTGGCAAAATCACCCAGAACTACATGGTCCTGATTGAAATCAGGAGTGGTGTTCCCTTTCAACTTCAGATATAGACATTTATAGAAAAACATCTGAGTTCTCAGATTTATCCTATCATGTTTGCGTAAAAGTAATCATAAAACATCTTATATATTTAGGGGAAAGTGCTATTCTTAACATCTAGTGAGGGGTCGCGCATGGTGGCTCATGCCTGTAATCCCAGCACTTTGGGAGGCCAAGGTGGGCAGATCACAAGGTTAGGAGTTCGAGACCAGCCTGGCCAATATAGTGAAACCCTGTCTGTACTAAAAATACAAAAAATTAGCTGGACATGGTGCCTATAATCCCAGCTATTCGGGAGGCTGAGGCAGGAGAATCTCTTGAACCCAGGTGGCAGAGGTTGTAGTGAGCCAAGATCTTGCCACTGCACTCCAGCCTGGTGACACAGCAAGACTCCGCCTCAAAAAAAAATCTAGTAAGAAATCAAAATTAAGATGTATTAATCAGTCCCATGTCTTCTTTCTCCTGTTCATGACAATCTCAGATGATGAGGCATCCTATACTCAACCCCAAATCCAGAAACAATTGTCAACTCCCACCTGTATTATCTAAGGAATCCAAAGCATCTAATTTGTGAAACTGTTTTTGGAACTAAATCATAAACATTAATTTAAAAAACCTTGAGAAACGGTTTGCTTTGAATGCATATGTTTTCATATAGATAAATTAAGGTTACTTAAAAATGATTATCAGAAAGCATAATTATCATTAAAATAATATAATTACAATGCTCTTTCAGAGGTAATACTTTTAGGCGGGTTAGTTTTACTGGTGTTTTTTTAAGCCTAACAGTCTGTTGTCTTAAATGTCTATGCATATCTCAAATGAAAGTATATTTTATACATATATATATATATATATGTTTGTATATATGCTTTTATTTTTTAATATAGCCCAGACTTATATAAGGAAATTAATGTTAAATATGCAATATTCCTTCTGAAAATGCTATTTTCAATTTTAATATGCGCACAATTTTAGTGACATTTATTTCATAGTGCTTGGAAATATTTATATTACTTATCTTGGTAAATTGTGTAGTTCTTGGTTTCATATTTTGATGATCCTCATTCAGAATGATATCAAGGCAAACCTCTGACTTATATGCTTCATTGGTACATTTGAAGAAAATTGACTTTTATTTAAAAGAATCTGTGTTGTTTATAAACATACAAATAGAGCTAAATCAAGTATTTTAATAGTAACCGAAACACTATTTTACTCAATCCAGTACTTTTTTGAGATTGAATCTTTGAGAAAGCCTGTCGGTGTCATAATTCAATTATTTGAGGGTCTTAAGTTTATTTTCCTGTAGTAGTAAAATAACTTTTGAACCAAATACATTCTATTAAAATTAAAATTTAATTTTTAGGGTTCTTCAGTTTAAGAAGGAAAATGAGAAAAATAACTTAGAAACAAACATCTTGAGAATTTTCTCTAAGAATATCACATGTGGGGCAAATATGGGTGGGTTTCCCTTTGGGTTGAATTTCAGTTGAATTCCATGAATCTGAAGTTGTAACAGAAAGCAGGCAAATGTGGTTAACACCTATCATCGAAGGGCTGCTGTAGAGAGCTCAGCGAGACTCAGAGGCTGGATCTCATCATCGGCCTTACAGGCCAGGTATGTCCTGACACACGAAGCTTTGGAGGGTTCTAAGCAGTGGAGTGATGAGATCTGATTGTGTTCATCCAGATCACTCTGGCTGTGGGTAGAGAAGGATTGTGGGGAGGCAGGAGTTGAAGGAGGGCAACCACTTTGGTGACTATTGTAATAACACAGAGGAAAGTAAGGGGACAACTCTCAGTGGGAGGTGATCATGGGGGTGGAGAAAAGTGGACTGAGTTGGGATTTATTTTGGAAACATTTAGACTGCTGGCATGTGGATGTGAGTACTGAGGGGAAATAGGTCAATCAAGAATGACTTTGAGTGTTTGGGTCTGAATTTCCGCATAGGAGGTAGAAACAGGTTGGGAGGAGGCAGGTATGAGAATGTTTTGTTTTCCTGGTGAGTTGGAGATGGCTATTTAGGCATCTAAGTGGAGACGCCTGGTGGACAGTTGGATGTGTGAGGCCCTACGAAGAGCCGTTGCAGAAGGAAGGGACGTAAGCAGTGGGCAGTACTGATGGGAAGTCAGGACGGACATTAAGGCAAAATGACTTTGGCAGTTCAAGGTCACCAGTGACCTTGATAAGGACCCAGGTGGAGGATGTTGTGGAGAGAATGTGATGTGAGCGGGTGGAGGTGGCGGGGGCAGATGAGGCTCTCTGGTGGTTTTGCTGTGGAGGAAGGCTGAGGAGCCAGGCAGCAGCTGGGAAGACAGGCGAGGTCAAGAGAGGGTTTCTTTTAAGATAAAAGACACAGAAGCCTATCTGAATCAAAGGGCTGGAATCATTTGGTAAAGCAGGAGAAAGTGACAATACAGAAGAAAGAGGCTGTGTGTGGCAGGAGCCCAGTCCTTGAGAAGGTAATGGGGTCTAGAACAAAAAGGGACCAGACCACCTCCCCACTTGCTGAACAGGACGGAAGGCAAAGAACAGGTGCAGATACAGGTATGTTTTCAGATTTGGTGACAGAGAGGTGAGGGAGGGCTCATTAGCAAAGGCTTTTCAAGCAAATTGTTAAAGCAAATGGGCAGCTTACATGGAGATGATCGTCTAGTTTTGCAATTATCCATAAACTGGCCCATCTCTTTTTTGTGGCAGTGTTCAAGTTATGATGAACAATGATAACTGATAAAGTTCTTGTGACCTTGAGCTCACATGAGACAATTATTCCCTTCACAAGCCAGAACTGTCAAGGGGTGTTTCATACCAGCTCAAAGCAAGAGACAAAAAAACTTCAGTTGTCTTCACAGCAAACCGGCAGGATATTTGCTGCAGAATAATATGAAATCTTTGGAGACACGGCCAGCAAATGTGTTAAATTTTAATTTCAAATGAAATCATGCAAACATGTTTTACAAAACATAAATCATAATAGAAAAGTACTGGGATTAGCTACAGATAACAAATGACAGTCGCCTGATGAGAGTTTTTCTCATGAGTACACCCAAAACTTCAGGTTATCTTTGCTCAAAGCTTGACTCCCACCCAAAAGCCCCTCACTAGTTGGCACCATGTCTTCACAGCCAAATTTTACATAGCGGCCAGCACATACATCGATGAAAATAAATAGTCTTAGGTGATTATGCTAAAACATAAATCAGCTGATCACTTATAAAATAGGAAAAATAGGCCAGGCATAGTTGCTCACGCCTGTAATCTCAGTACTTTGGGAGGCAGAGGTGGGTGGATCACCTGAGGTCAGGAGTTCGAGACCACCCTGGCCAACATAGGGAACCCCATCTCTACTAAAAATACAAAAATTAGCTGGGCATGGTGGCAGGTGCCTGTAATCCCAGCTACTCAGGAGGCTGAGGCAGGAGAATGTCTTGAACCCAGAAGTCGGAGGTTGCAGTGAGCCAAGATAGCACCACTGCACTCCTGCCTGGCGATAGAGTAAGACTTCAACTCAAATAAAGTTTAGGCCGAATAAGAAGAAAAGAGGTTGTGGTTGCTTCCTCCCCGAAAAATGCTTTAGCACAATACCAAGCAAAATCACTGTTGAACTCGATTGTTATTCATTTGTTTGATTTTTCTTCTTA